TAACAGACAAAAATCAAATAATGGCATTTCCCATGTTGCAACATGTATAGAAGTATATGCCATACAAAAAGATGGGAACAGTGCATTTCTGTCATGCCAAACCATTTGCAGAAATGCTAGTCCTCTGTAACTGAAGATGGGAATGGAGCTGCGCCGGTAAACTGCTGGTGATTCTAGGTTGAAGATGGATTAAACACATCTGGGTTCTATCTATGGCCATTTAAAATCAGTGAATTCTCTAGCAGAAAAAATGATAACTTATTGTTATAATTAAAATATTGGGTTTTTTGGTGTGGTACACCTGGGATCCCCAGTCAGAATCCTGTTTAGCTGAAGTCTATTGAACATTATGGAGAATCTTAATGAATTCAGTGGGCTAGGTATCACTTCCTTGGATGCAGTAGAAACCAACAGTAAGTGACAGATCCTGCCTTGAATTGCTGGCAGTGCTTAAGCTCTAATCCTGCAGTCTGCTCGCATATCCAGTATGCTGTTGGCCTTCTTTTGCAGCAAGAGAATGCTGTTGGCTTGTATTCAGTTTGATTCACTATGAATTCCACTTCTTTTTCTGCAGTACCGTAGCCTAGCCAATCCTTCCCTAGCCTTTACATATTCATGTAAAATTTTTGATGCTTCCTCCCAAATAGACATTGAGTTATTGAGCATAACTGGCTGCACATCCATCTTATAGCACTTCTGTTTAGTCTGCAATTTCTTAGCTTACTAATGAAAATGTGGGGAGAGATGTTGTGTTTTATTTTAATAGATAATGTAAGTGTAGCTCGTTGTACTGGTCAACATTTTGACTGGAAAGGTTTTTTTTTTAAACTGCTCTTAAAAGTTCCCCAGCCATTTATAAAGCTTGTTTGTAGTTTTTTCCCCCAACATCCTGTTATTACAAGCAATGCCTAAGATAGTTAAACTGGAAGAGATGAGATGCACAAGTACACATTTTTGTTTGTTTATTTTGTGCTTTTGACACCACAAGGGAGTTGCCCATAATTCAGTGTAATTTTTTTTACTTGTGTTGTTGGCCAGGTCTTATAACAGGGAAACGCTTGTTTTTAAAAGTAACACAACATTATTTTGAAGTCATAACAATAGGAGAATACTCAAGGGTGGATATAGGTTTTAAAATGGCTTGTAACTTTTTATTGACAGAATTTCAAGTTGGTTTGTCTCTCTTCTGCTGTACATATTAGAAAATTGCCTATTCATATAGAAAGCTACATCTTTTTAAAGTAGAACTTTGAAAATGTATCCTACTAATAACATAGATGGTTTTTGTATATTTTCAGTTTCATTTTTTAATGAATTTCATTAATGAAGATACACTGTCATTTAAAAAAGATTAACCGAACCTGCAGTAAAATAATTACTATGATTATTTTTGTTCTTTGCAGTGTTGAAGTTAAGTCAGGATAGCAGCTTAAAGATTCAGAGTCAGACTTCTGTAGGCAACAGCCTACACTGTTGTTGCTGTTAGTAGTAGTGTTATGGTACCTACAAACCTTAGTCATGTATCCAAACCCCACTGTGTTAGACACTGACCAACAAACACAAGGGCCCTGCCGATTCTACTGTGACATGGTCATTAGTCTTCTCTATGGTGGTAAGGCAAATTATCTTAGGGGAGACGAGACTAAAAGATATGTTACAACTGCCAATCTTGTACATTTCTCCTAAGTTTAGATGCCTTCATTAAATACAAATCTAAAATTCATTATTCCAAAACTTTCTGTAACATTCTACTCTTCAAATAGTGTCTGAAATAAGGACTTAGCATAAAGTAACTTGTGCTATTCGTTCACTGTTTCACCAGGAATTTTCCTATGAAGATTTAGATTCATTTTTATTTTTCAGAACAGAAAATATAACTTACAAAGGTGATTTTTAGGAATGCAGATTTTAAAGCTGCAAAACAACTTTTATACGCAAGATGTCGCTAGATACTAAAGGTTTCTGCAAACTAAAGTTGATGGGAAGCTATGCTAATGAAAAATAAATTTGATCTTTCTCTGGAAAAGATCTTTTGAGCATTCACTTGAACACTCATTCAGTACTGAAATGATGATTGTGAAGGAAGGTTGCTTTAGAGGGATTTTATTTGGTCTGTAATAGGTTTGGCACCCTGTCATGATCTATTTTAATAGTATGATAAATGCTATACTATATTGAGTATATTTTAAGTAATCTGGAAGTGAGTTGGTTATGATGTTTTAAACACTTGAGTTTCCTAAAATATTGAGAAATAAGTGATAGTATGGAAAAGAGTATGTATGGATTTCTGTTTTGTATCCACTTGTACTTTTTGATGCTGGAAAGGCAAATAATTGCATTTATATTTATCAGCATGTTTTGCAGAATTTTGAGAGGTCCATACTTACAAGGAAAAGAATTGACTTTTATTTTGCATTGGGTATTTTTCTTGCATAAAGATCTTCTGTTTACTTACTCATTTGCCAAAGACTGAACTGAATTCAAGCTCTGTAAAGGGGCACAAATAACTTTAATTTAATGTATATTTATCTTGTACTGAGAGAACATATTAACACTTTAACTACTTACATATATTTCAAAATTTGGGCACAATTATACTGTGTGAATTTTCTCAAAGATTCAAGAACACAAGAATGTTGCTTATGTTTACTGTAGCTTTGTTCCTTTAGTTAATATTTAATGATATAATGACATTTAACCTTTATTAAAATATAGAGGGAGAAGGAAGCCTAACAAAAGTGGATAAATGGAATGCACCTGGTAGTTAATGTGATGTGTTGGAGTTCAGTACAACTAGCTCAAGGTGGATAATTACAGTTCATCCCTTGAAATAGAATTGCCTTCAGGGTGAAAACATCAGGAATTCCTCAAGCTTGTAATGGTTTGTACTTATAAGAGTTAGGAGAAAGAGTTGACTTGTTGTCTTAAAACGAACAAGTTCTGCCCATAGGTTATTAGCCTTGTAAGCCAGAATTGACTGAATGACTTCTGGGCATAGGCAGACATCAGGCATTTTATTAAAATACAGGATGGGGGGTGGGAAACCTTGAAATCTGTGACTTACCATTTCATAGGAATCATGGAACATTTTTAAATGTTCTCTTATAAGAATTATATCTTTTAAAACTCAAAGGAAGAGGTAATGCAACTAATATTATATAGTGTAATTTACCCAAAGAGATTCAAATCATACTCTGGTGTCAGGCTTATGCTCTGACTTTTTCTGAATCAAAATAGAATACATAAAAGTTTGTT